TGAACGTGCCGTAGGTGACGAAGTCCATGCTGTGTTTGAAGGACAGGTGCTCGTGTTCACCAAACCCATAGACCGAAGTGGATGGCACAGTAGTTGTGATCTGAAGGTACTGGTTGGAGAAAATCAGATCAATGAGGGGACTGTCCCACCTGCAACAAATAGAGGGAGACATGATTAGTTTGCGTATCTTTGATATGCATCTTTTTAAGTTCATGTCTGGCTATTTGTACTTTTTCTGGATTTTGGATAGTAACAATATTAAAAAAATATTGTTCTATTCTATACATGCCTCTAACATGCTTAACCTAACACATATCAAATTCATCTTGCCTTGGCTGCAGATATCTCATCTACCTATACAATAAACTGCATCAGTATAATTTTGAAGAGAACAACTAAAATAACAGAAGATACTATCTATAATCCTATTACCAAAATAAGTGGTTGCTTGTGCTATTTCTATGACAACCAACAGGGCAGGCTAAAAATTGTTATTACGCAGTGGGGTTCAGAATCCTTAATGAGACAAACAGACATTTAGTTGTTATCAGTTTTTACTTTTTAATTCTTTGCTGGATCAGGACCCAAATACTGTTGTTACCCCCAACTTTATGCAGGCACCTAAAGCAGAGGGATAGCTTCCTCCAGACTCTGCTTGAATGAGATGCTTTTATTGTGATGACTCTCCTGCTTCTCTCACCAGATTAATGCCTTTATTTCTATTGAATCATCTGTGGACACAGGCTCACATTTTAATTAGGTGTTACATTCTGTTTCCTATCTCTAAGTGCTATAATGAGCTGCAGGCTAGATGGGGGAGAACATAGTCAAGCTGTGGAGAAGCGTTTCGTTAATGGTACTGTGTATGCCATGAGTACCACATTTAGATAGCACCCTCTCGAGCCTTGTTTAACCATGAATTTGTTACAGCTAATTAAAATAAATGAGCCAAAGCCATAGAGCATAGAAGTGGCATAACTCTCCTTTTAATGGTCTTTTGTCAGTGATTGTGACAAAATTAAATGTTTGATCAAATTGACCGATAAATCAGAGAAGTGGCAGAGGGGCTGTGTCGGCGAGTAGAAGCGCTGCCCCTGCGAGGGGACCGCTCTCTGCGGACCCCTGGCTGCCCCTCACGCCACTGGCACCGCTGCCTGGGGACAAGTCCCTGCTGCTGGGAGAACTGGGAGGGCACCACCGCTCCCACCAGCCGGCCTGGGGCAGCTCTGCTCTCCCCAGAGGGAAGCAAGGACAGCCACTCACAGCGGTGCCTGGAGGCAGATCCAAGGTGCCCTCCTACCTCTCCATGCAAAAGGCAGCACAATCTACCCCTAAAGTGTCATAGACAAGTCCTAAGTCAAGCATGTGTACTGAAGGGTCTATATAGTTTTGAAAAAGCCTATCTGGTCTTTCTTACAAGCAGGAAAAGTAAGAATTTGTATTTAAGTCTTGGTTTGGTTGTTTGCAGCAGCAACCCTCCCTCCCTTCCATCATGTCTTCCACCTACACACAGATACTGAATAAGGTTATTTTCGTATAGAAAGGTTAAGGCGCACAAAACATCCCTGAGAATTGGATCCAACCCTTAGCAGACAGAGGCCTTTCTACAAGAGGCTGCTGCTGCACAGGAACGGGGCTGGGCTCTGGAGCTGTATTCCCATCCAAAGGAGTGCCATCATGTAGCTCTGCTCTGTGCCAAGGCAGGCACTGTCACTGCTCTGAGCAGGCCACGGGGTTATGCAAAAAGCAAAGGATGCTGGAGGGGAAATACTTTGGGAAGAGCTTAAGTATCTGTCCTAACTCATTGAGCGCTCTCCATGCTGTCTGTTCAGAGGACATGAGGCTTTTACATTCATGGTACCCACGTTATGGCACTGACATTTCCCATCGTGAGAGCAATTAGTGTTACCATGGTATTGAAAGCGCTCCTCCTGCTCAGCAAGTCCTCTCCCTGCCCAGGAGAGTTACTAGGACGATGCAAACTGCAGCCCCACCACATCTGTAAGTGGCATGGAGAACTGTTTTATACCTCATGCATTCCCTCAGGCCACTGTCATGCACTCAGCTTCTGCATGGCATCACCAAAAGGGTGCCTCGCTCCGTGCCTCTCCAGTGCTCGGCTCCGCAGGGGCTGCCACTTCCAACAGCACAGCTCCCCGCGCGGTGCTGCCAGCCATCGCTCTCCATCAGCCTCCTCTTCCATTAGGCCTCCGCTTGCCAGAACTGCCATGGGCTAAATACAACATTAACTACGACAAAATAAGACTGGTAATGACTCTCTTTTTTTTCCAGGCACCATTATGTCTCCCTCATCTGAAGGAAAGCATGGACGGGTTTTCCCCTGGCACCTCTCTCTGCCTCCGCTCCCCAGTGGCTGCCCCTGCGCTCCGCAGCGCACTGTGGAAAGCAGTTGTGTTACTTTATGTGTTCGCTCATGTTGTGTTGGCAGAGAGCAATCATTTAAATGAAAAAATTGGGTCTGTCATTCCTTCAACACTTGGAGGCAATAAAAGAAATTGTTAGATTTCTCCCACCTCCCCTCCTGCTGGTCTAACGCAGATAGAAGGAACAAAAAAGGAAGGAGCATAAAATGACACCATGTGCGCAGGAATTAGCGTGGTTCTCCCCCGACAGTCCTACAAACCATAACAGTGCTGTGGTGGACAACACAAGGGATCTAAAAACCTAAAAAGATCTAAAAATCTAAAAATATCTAAAAATACAGCTGAGCAGTTGTTCACTGTCAAAAATTCAACCCCCACCCGCAGTTAGACCTGGCAAAGCCTGTGTAGATGAGAATCCTTTTCTTTGCACAAGAGGTAATAGCTGCACTCAAGTTCACTGCTGAAAGTGCTAGCCCTTTGGTGCCTCTGTGGTGGGAACACTCCTGCCTGTGGGAATACAGACCGGGCTTCCCACACGCCTGCCCGGCGCGTTGCCTGCTCACAGCTGCCTGCTGCCTCTCCTGGAAGTCTGACTGACACAAGCTAGTGTTGCCTTCCAAACACCACACACTATACTCCAGAGTAAACCTCTCTGTTTTTTAACCTCATGTCAGGAGAAAAAGAATGATTCAGGACTGAGAAGATCTGTGTGAAAGTTAACATTTCTGGCCAGCAAGTGAACCAGTCCCACATCCAGCAGTCGACCCTTAGGCCACCGGGACAAAATGTAACTGCCGCAGACCGGGGAAATGGCATTACAGACAGGTGGGTAGGCAGATAGATAAAACATCCTGTTCCTGTTGAAGGTGTATTTTATGACTAACATTGTCGTGACTTTTGAGGGGGGTGACTAAAAGGCGGTATAAAATGGTTTTCAGAAGTGCAATCATCAGTCCATCTCAATAGAGACTGGACATGACGATTTACCTGGTTGAAAGACTTCGCTCTGTTGAAGTTTACCAGGGACCGATAACCTCAGTGTATGCAGTGGTTCAGAGCACTGACTCACCTGCCGTGAGCAAGCTGCTGGTGACACTGATAAAAGTGGTCTTACAAAACCTCCAGAATTAGGAGACTTGGGATACACATATGATACATCATTAGGACATTCATCATGCATTATCTGGACACTCAAAAATAATTTTCAGTTGGGAGAGGGTTTTTTTATCTTCTTGTTGCAATGAATCCAGGAGAAATGAGCTCATTTCTTTAAGGTGTGAACATTTGGCCCACTCAGTCGCTTGGAGAAAATGTCCTCTTTAACATCTGCTTTTCTTGGCCTCCAGACCCTTTGGAAACAACAGCCTTGTGGAAGGGAGCTCATCGTATATATTTATTACCTGCGTGGAAATTCAGGTGGAAACATCACACATCTATCAGAAAAGTGGGTCTAAGCCTCCTGGCAGAGCTTGGCCATACCTTTTCAGAGGGCATAGGCTATTGCTGTACACGCAGACTGCCTACAAAGCAGTAAAGCACCTCAGGGACTGAGGAGTATAGGCCCCATTTTCAGATGAACCTCAAACATACTTGGCCTCTGACTCACCCCACTTGAGCTGCTGGGGAGCATCATCACATGAGCCCAGGTCTCTGTGATTTTCCATTGCTTTCAGATTGCTGAAGAATGCCTCCACTGTCTCACAACAGCCCTATTCCTTACTAGCTGTAAGTCTTGGGGCACCACTGGACTACAAAAGGCACACTAAAAATGAATTTTTATATGCTTATCTCACTTCTAAGGTGATTTATCAAATAGGCGGAGAAAGTCGGCATGACCAACTAACAGATTTTCCACAAACGTGACATTTTAAAAGAAAGAATTACAGGGTATATTTACAGTTATTGACACAGTTCTGCTCTGCTTCTACTGTATTCATCGCCATGGTGTCAGGGTATCTCCTATAAGTGGCTGGATATATAACGCTTCATTTTTGTTCTGAAAAACACTTGGATAAGTGATAGACCTACAATACTTCTTGCCTACATAACATAAATCTTAATGATTGGAAGACTAAAATAACGGCTCTCACAAACCAAGAGCAAACCCAAGCAACCCATGGTGCACACAGTTTGCTCCTGTTGCTTTTAGCAAATTGCAGTTTAAGACAATAACATTATAAATCATTCTAATAGCCTTGCCTATGTAAAAAGTCTTCATGGTAAGTGGCGTCTGTTCTTACTACCACCATCAATAAAAAAAGGCATCTGAACTCTCCAGCAGCCTTTTTGGAAATTAGGGAAAATCTTGATTACATTTCAGTTATTTGTGCCCTATCTTCCCAAGCGTGATAGCAAACAAGGTATTCCAAACTCTTAATAGAGAGAAAGGAGCAGTTATCTGGCTTGGGAAAAATGTTCTGCCTTCCATTATTTGTATGACATCATGAAGGAAAAGTCAGCTGGAGAGCGGATATTGAAGTGGAGAATCAAATCAATAGCCCATCCCTCTGCAGCCTGTCTCCAGCAATGGCCCAGGCCAGATATCGCAGAGAAAGACATAGGATGTCACTCAGAGCCAGCCTTGCAATAATCTATTTATGGAGGAAGTTTCTGGCTGTTTTCATAGGATTAGCTTATGTTGTGGAACATGAAGACAGAAATAGTTGGGGTTTTTTTTGCCTACAGATGATTTCTGTATTATGCGTGAACGTGTACCCTGCTAAGCCTCCCGTGCCAGTACTGCCCTGGGGCAACGAGTCCCGCAGAGTAATCACACGCTGCAGAACAGAACGAGGATGTCTTTGTTATTTATCACTGCCTTCAAGCAAACTGTTCCCGGCCCTTTACTCTCTGTTCTTGAGGAAATCTATGCTTTGCTGAAGCCTTCATGCTCGCACTTGATGCTGCCTCCTCCAGTGGCTGCTGCTCTTGGTGGCAGGAGCGGAAAGGAGAACAGCACTCAGCCTGAGAGCACGGGCCGCTGAATAACGCAGGGGCTCTGTTTTGCTCCCTCGCCTGCCTTATCGCAACACAATATTTTCTCTCCTGTTTTTGTTACGGTAGGGCCCTGGCCAGCGATGGGCCAGTTTCCTGGTAGAGCTACAAGATCAGCTAGGATAGTGTGAGAGAGGATTTGTTAAATGGAAGCCAATTACAAATTTCTAAACAAAACGTTTTGCTGCTGATGCCGCCGGGTTGCCAAATCGGGTATTTTCCAAGCATCATGGGCATGGGGAGAGGTTCCCTGCAGTCTCCACTGCACCACAAGGCCGGTAGTTTGGGAGCTTCACCGCCGGGGCGAGACACCCAGGCCCCAGTCACTGTCCCTCAGGGGCCTGGGTCATGGTTCAGATCAAAGATTTGCAGCCTTAAATCAGCTGCAGGTTTCTGGTTTTCCCCAGCAAGACAGAAACCACCTGACATCTGTACGGGAGCGGGGGCTCTGCCTGCCCCTGGGTCTCATCTGGTCTCCTTGGCACCTCACCAGCCAACGCGTGGAGGAGGCACCTCTTCACCCCCTTGGCTTTGGAGAGCTGCTGAAATGGGGAAAGACCTTCCCCGGCCACCAGTGAAACGGCTGGAGCATGGGAGAGGGCAAAGGAGAGGAGCAGGAGCAGGTAGGACTGGATGGGACAGAGAAAAGGACAGCAGTGGAGGAGAAGGAGAAAGGTAAGAGGGAGCAAGCCAAGAGGCATTACTGGGGGGAGAAAGGGAGGCAGCCCAAGAGCTCCGGGTCCCGGAGCCCCCCAGCAGCGCCTGGATCATTTCCCTGCACGCTCCCATCTAATTTTCGCCCCATGCAGGCAAAGCAGCGGCTGTTGCCTGATTAGCTTGGAGCAAGCTGAAAATGTAGCGGGACTTGGCCTTTTATTCTTGCTCCTGGCTCTGCATGAGGTTTGCAATCAGCTGTTAAAATCTCTCCCCTCACATAATTCATTCCTCTCCCCCATTACTGTGATTACACAGAGCCCTGAGTTTGTCCTGCCCTCCTTGAGCCCGTGCTTGGGTAGCTCAGCTACGGCAAAGGCTCCTCGCACACAGCAAGCAGGAGAAGCGCCTGTAAAGCAGATTCAGGAATACCTCAAAGTCTCCGCTGCCTCTCCCCTGCAACATTTCCAATGCAGTATTAAGTTATTGCTCACGAGGAGGAGGCTTTGTGTGCACGAGTGGCAGAGCTGAGATGGGGCTTTACATCAAGCAGACAGGCGGGGAGCCTGCCGTCAGCTGCCCCATCACCCATCACCACAGTCTGCAGCACAGAGGCATGACGGCAGGACAGCCTACACCATGGGAAGGAGGGGAGAGACAACCCAAATGCACACCACGTTTCTGCTCGGGACAGGCTGCTCCCTCCCCACGTGGACTGTCAGCTGTGCCACAGCACGCTGGGGATGGTGAGGGATTTCAGGCTTTTTTCGGGGGTGGGTCATCCAGTAGTGCGAAGCTGCTGGTGAGGGATAAGGAGCATCCTGTAAAACAGATTGCTGGGATTTGGGATTGCTTTACAATGGGAAAGCCTTCCTCAGAGACATTAGAAAGGTCCAGCAGAGCACCCGGACCTGGTTTGGTGTAGACACAAGTTGTTATCCACCCACACCTGGGAAGTGCAACTGCAGCGCCTGTTGAAGAGGCTTTATTCGCCCACATCCACTGTTCTGAGCAATATTTGTGTGCATATGAAGATTAATGATTGATTCAGCTGTTCGTTGAGACAGCAAGGCCATGGCCATTGACATCTTAAAATAGGAGACTTCAGTCCCCAGGTGTTACAGGCTTGCCTGTTTCTCAGGGACACTTGCCCACACAGCCTGCCCTAACCTGGCACAGCCGCGGAGGCCACCGGCTGTGC